TTGATTATGGCCAGGTGTCGTTTCAACCGAAGATAAAGCGACAGGGATACAAATGTATGAAACATCTCACATTTACTACAAGAAATTATAATTTGTCTTTTTTTATTTAAACCAGATATGTAAATGTTTGACAAAATGGTGATAAAAGTTCGCAGTTCATTCAAAAATATAATATAAAAATTAAAAGATAAATATACGGAGTAAAAGTTTCCAACAGTAGTTCTGAAGTTTTGTGTTTTGTACCAGGGTCCTCCAATTTTAAATAAAATTTGTTCTACTCCCTTAACTTTACTTATAATCAAATTTGATAAATACTCAAATGATAATATAATTCATAACGAATTACCAAATAAATTTTGCAAACGTAACATACGTTTCAAAGGATTCTGAACATTTTGGCATACCAAAAAAAAATGGATGTGTGTGTTGTGTGTGTAGTATGTATGTATGTTTTGATACAATTTTTCGTCCACGATTTCGGGCGCACAAATCAACCGATTTGAATTGTTAAAAACACATTCGATTTCTATTGATATGAAGACGTGCTGATTAATTAGTGGTGAAAACGGGTTTAGCCGTTTCGAAGTTGGCAAAAAGTGCCAACAACTGTAATTCGGTTTTGAGAAAAAAGGGTACTCGATTTGGATGATTCAGAAAAACATTTTAAATAAATAATTGATAAAATTTTTGGTAAGGCAGGTCTAGCGGTTTCGGAGATATATAGGAAAAGTAAAAAAAATTTTTGATGGTCAAAATGAACATTAGACGTATGCACATCAAATTATCAGACATCTGATGAAGTTTTTAAAAATGAGTATTAATTTTTTTGTTACAATTTTTTGGGTTCCGTACCAAGATTTTTAATTTTTAAAGTATACTTATACGGTTCAAGCAAATATCAAAAATTTAAGAAAAAAAAATTCAAAATTTTTTAAAACTATACAAAGTTTTATACTTTACATTTCAGTTTCAAAATCTATATATTTCAAATGCGTTATTCCAAACGTAATAAATATATCCTCAGATGGATTCATTCATTCACCTCCTGCTAATGTAAACTTTCTCAAGTGCTTTGAGCGATAAGATCCTCACTGTATATTTTATGAACGATAAAATATATAATGATTATAATTATCTATTTGAAAATTTATAAAACAATTATTGTAAATCATTGATCATTTTTATTGATTACTAATTTTTTCGTCGAATATATAATTCTGGTACGGAAAGTTCCAGCAATTTGCTTAAGGCACGATGCACTAGTTGATATATTTAAGTGAATCATTATTCATTCCTTCATATGCATTTATTCCCATGTTTCAAACCATTTGATAAGGATTTTAATCTATTTATTATTGATATATGTTGAAAATATAATGTTTTGAGAAATTTTCGTTTCAGGTATAATAAAACTCTTGAGAACAAATACTTAACACAAATTTCTATTCATCAAAACATGCTTTTGAGGATTATGGGGGCAATTTTCGGGACAACTTAATTATGCTATGTTACAGGTCTCTTTTGGTAAATACCATCTTGAGTAATATCATTGGTAGTAAATAACTTTCAAAAAGCTATGTCTGTGCTGTTCGATCGAACCTTTTACACTATTCTATTTTTAATACCTAACCTCCAAATGGCACAAATGTTAAATAACAATATTATCATAATCAATCAATATTTTGTGTTGCTCCTGATAACACACGCGTGAAGTCGAACAAAGGTATTCTCTGACGTTTGTGCCATTTGAGGGTTACAGTTTTAAAAGTAGACTTAGGTAGAACGATCAATCGAACAGCCAAAATATAGCTTTTTATACAATAAAGAGACATATAACGTAACATAATTATTTTATCCAAGAATGGGCTCCTTAGTATATTCTCTACATAAAATCTGAAGTAGTAAGGGATTATAAATGATAAGAGGATCAATTACAGGTTTCATTTCCTCCGAGCCCAAACTATTGCATACAGAGCAAAACTGTCAATTTGTAACTGTTATTAGTCAATATTTGTCAGTTTGTGATAGTTTGGACTCAGAGAGAAAGAACCTACAACGTATTCATATGATATCATCACGAATATTCATTGATAATAATAATAATAATAATGGGTGTACTGCCCTAGGGCAGGTCCATGAGCTGACTTAAAATTCCAACTCGATTCAGGGAAGAAGTAGTGTGAGAGTTTTTCCCATTCCATTTCACACCGCAGTGCCCGAGATGGGCTTATTTTCAATTGGAAACGTATTTTGATCTATATTTTCACTTGAAAATAGTCATCGCGCTGCCCGATGACAGATTGCCAGAGCGGGTAATCGAACGCGCGACCTTGTCCATACAAAGTCAACGCGTTAACCGACCTTCGCCACGACGAACCCTCATTATTAACTATTGCGAACTATTACGAACACTAAAATAAATGTATGTACTAAATCGCCTGATAAAACATGATGGTTGTAAATCTACTACCTACCCATCAGCCTGCTACTATGCAGAAGTCGGACAATCATCACTGTTCGATCTTTCATTAGAACGACATCATCTCCCGAAGCAGGATGGTGTCCATCCCAGGTGGCATTGATGCACGTCAGAGAAGCGGTTGTCGACGACGTTCCTGACTTTTGATTCGAACACACGCCATCACCAACGGCAGCATGTGTGTCGTTGCTGGTGGTGGCCGCGCTACTATTGTTGGGCGTTGAATTGGCGTCTTCTGATAGTCGTAGGGCGAGTTCTAAGTCGCGCAGCACTTCGGTTTCTTTGGCTTCAATTAGACTGAATCGCCTGGAGAAAGGAAATAGATAAATGAAAGGAATATTGACAATAAAAACGGTAGGAAATTAAATATATTAAAGATAATTAACTTCAACTTCATTATTAGAATAAAGCTATACGTTCCTCATTATACACTTTTTCATTATCGATAGACTGATGAAACTACAATTGTATAAACCTCTTTTTCTATGTTTTTATTTTGACAATCCATATCAACACCGTGTGACAACATCATTGGATCCTAGTTCTTAGTTTTTATTCTCTTACGTACAATTGATTTTATATACATATATTATTATTTGTAAATAGACGATGAAGTCAATTATTATAATAATGATTATAATCATTATAATGAAGTCAATTATTATAATTGTAGTAATTAATAGTAACTACGTATAAATAAATCGTAAAACAGCGTCTAAAATGTATATGATATATATGATTTTTGATCCACATCCATTTTTTTTTACATTTTATTGCATTCCATGCACAAATGGTTTCCATATATTTAAAAATATACTCATACATTTATTTTTCAAATTGGTAGTAATATATTTATTAAAATGAAAAGCTGAAGAAATTAGAATATAAACGAGGTGTTGGTAACCAGAATGGACCATCTCACAAACTGAGATACGATGAGGATACGATGAACTTTTCACTAAATAATGTTGTCAAACTTGAATAAACATAATATTTACATCTGTCTATAAAAGGCTCTAAGGTTCTAAAGTTGTTTCACGCTTCATGAAAACTCATTGTGAACTATGGGACTTCTATTTTATTTATATCATAAAAAGACAAGTGAAATGATGCAAAAATAAATGCTAAGTAGTATGTAAATTAATTAAAGATAATAAACAAACGTTTTAAAAATAGCACATTTTTCTACATGGTTTTATAGCGTTTAGGAATATAATAGAAATAATATAATATTAGTCCACTCTGTTACCAACTCTTCAAATATAAAACACTTTATTCGATATTTTGCAATATTGTCCAAACACGACTTATATAAATCTCTCTTATTTTAGATAACATAAAAGCATTTTTATATGGAAAAATACTGGAGTCTCAATTACGTCAGTCACATTGAATAATTGATATAATATATTTATACTAATTACATCATAATAAAATAAAATAAAAGCTAATAAAAAACTAATAAAATTAACATAATATAAAACCTAACAAAAACAATCTAATTACAAGTCATAATTGGAACCTTTCGTAATAACAATGGTATTGTTAAAATAAAACAAATCAAAATAATCAGCAGAATCTATAATAAATTAATCTATAATATATGCTCGTAACGGATACTTAAAATGTTTTATAATCTCAAAACTGTTATTTACCTTTTGGCGCTACTAATTATTAAAGATAACAAAAATAAGGATAAAATTTACAGAAGTCCTTCCATTTAAATACAATTCTATTTTGTTAATATTAAGAGGGGTTTCTAGTCTAGAGACGTAAATTTTATGTGACTTCTGAAAGGCAGTAAAAAAAAGTGCAAACAATTTACTATTCATTTTTCTATAAGTTATCATTTAATGTTTTAAGGATACAGAAAAAAATTGAAATTGAAAATTGTCAGTTTTAATTCTAGCATATGATGGAAAAATTGTCATGTGACGATACCCCTGATTTTAGCACTCTAAATAATCTGGTAAAAAGGAAAAGATTATGAATCTGGAATAATGTCCAATTAATAGGAACTACAAACAAATTAAAAAAAATCACATAATATCAAGTGTAAAATAAAACTTTTCTTGATATTTTCGATATTTTTCAAAATAGTAAAATTCGGAATTTGGGTATAAGTGCAGTTCATACTGAAGAAAAGTCTATAATGAAGACTGTAAAACTTGAAATAATTTAGTCCAGTAGTGTTGAGAAATCGTATCGAAAAAACACTTTCAAGGTATGGTATCGAAAAAAACACTTTCAAGAAAATCTCGTTCAAAATTTTGCGGAAGAAGTTAATAGAGAAGGATTATCGTGGTCAAACAGTTTATCTCCATAAATAATTTAAATTTTAAAAATTCTTTGTATACATATTCTTGAATACAGTAGAACCTCGATTAACCGAACTAATTATTGTCCATAGGCATCCGGATAATCAAAAATCCGGATAATCGAATGAATAAAGAATAATGTTGTGTATTTATTAAAAATAACAAATACATGCACAGATATCAACGAAAATAATGTTTATTAAGAAATTGGAACTCCTTTATGTATGTACATATATATTTTCTTAGATTACATTACATATATATACTAACTTTTTGCATTATTCCTGCAAAAATTCGAATTGTAGTTGCATACATATTAATTAATCGCGGTCCGGATAATCGCGAATCCATATAACTGAGGTCCGGATAAACGAGGTTCTACTGTAGTTATACTTTGCAAATACAAACAAAAATCATTTCTTAAAACTTCTAGACTAAAATACCACCTTAAATTGAATAAAATCGTTAAAGCGTAACGATCAAAAACCAATTCCAATATTAGATTTTATTCAATCAGCGATGTCTTCAAATGATATTAATCAATTCTACATCGTTGATAACGATTTTACATAATATAAAGTACTCCGCGATGAGGAAACGTTTAGAATTGAAATATTGAATTACCTGTGCAACGCCGTGAGATGCGCAAACGTCAGATTGAGGTGGGCGTGCAGGCCGAGCAGGGCCACCTCACGGAAGTGGGCAGCGTACAGGTGCGCCACAACATGGAACAGCAGCCGAAGGATTTTGCGACAGATCACCTGGAATAAATTGTAGTGAACTAGATTTATTCGTACCAATTAAACTTTATAGCCCGAAGGCAGAAGGGCAGTTTCAATATATTAGTTATAATTTGATAGCGATTTAAAATCATTGCAGTAAAGCTATTGTTGCAATTGAAATTAGATTTGACATGAAGAATATAACAAATATTCTATATATTTATATTCAATTTTAATAATTTTATAATTTAATAAATATATATATAGCTTCTATGCTATCTTCTCCACTTTCAATCAATTCAAAATAAGTTGTTGAATTTTTTTTCAGAAACTTGAAGTCGCCGCTTGTTCATATAATTTTATACATCCAACAATTACACTATCAATTTAATGATAGTATGATTGCAATTTTTCAGTCTATCATTACTAAAATTTGCAAAATTTCAATAACAAATAAATGTTACATTATAATGAAAATCACACCAATGGCACTAGGGAGTAAGATAGATCAGAATGATTAAATTATGGATAATCGATAAGAATTTCATGGCATCACAAATTAAATTATATATAAAATAAAATAATATAATTTCAAATCGTTCATTTCTAATTTAGTAAATTTGAAACAGAACAAACTTTTTTTTTAATTACTGGCCTCGATCCAATAGGTCATTTAGCTTTTATTTATTATTTAGATACTTTTTTATATCCTATTTACTATTGCATATAACATATTACATGCCTCATAATTAATTACATGTATATTATATAAGTTTTCAGCATTTTCGATATTTTCACTATTAACTCCAATCAAATTTATGGGTCAATTCCGGCGTAAAATAAAGCAATGTTATGGAAAGGCTATGTTACGCTGCGTTTTTCATATAAAATGGTACTAAAAACTATCAAAATGCTAGGTGGTTGATGTAGAGTCAGGAGTTTTAGATATAAAACCTAACTTAGAAAATGCACAAACGTTAAAAAAATCTTATCATATGTGAAACTTTCTGATCTGTCATAATAATACATGCAAAAAGTAACATTTTCAACGTAAAATGCAAATATTTATTATCAGATTCTTAATTACTACTTATATATTGATAAATATTTGATACTTATTCTTTTTTTTCGACTCGCACACCGGAGATCTTTGGATCGAGTCCTGATACTGTCTATTATTATGTAATTTAATATATTTCATTATAACACTGAATATAATGATGGTAGAAATAATATAAGTTAGCTTAATAATATAAGTATTAATTAGCTAATTTTGGTGTAAAATAGACCGATGTTATGGCAAGGCTATGTTACATTGCGTTTTTCATATAAATGGTGTTAAAAACCATCAAAATGCTATGTAGTTTCTGAGGAGTCAGACGTTTTAGATATGAAACCTAACCTAGAAAACGCACAAACGCCAAAATAAATATCATGAGTGCATCTTTCTGATGTGTCATAATAATACATGCGACAAGTTAGATTTTAAGTGTAAAACGCCTGATCGCACAGCAAATACATAGCATTTTAACAGTTTTTAGTAGTATTTAGTACCACTTTATATGAAAAACGCAACGTTTGCTGGTTGCGGTTGCGTTTGGTCTGGTGTAACATAGCATTGGTCTATGTTACACCAGAATTGATTCATTAATCTCTATATTATTTCTACCATCTTTATATTCAGTGTTATAATAAAATATTCGATCTGAACTCGATCCAAAGATCTCCGGCGTGCGATTCAAAAAAAAAAAAATTGAATCAGTATCAATTATTTATCAATATATAAGTATTAATTAAGAATCTGATAATAAAAATTCCAAATATAAACTTGATAGTAATTCAATATTAACTAAGGTGACCATATTTTTTTAAGTCAAAACCGGGACGGCAATTTTTTGTTATACTAATCCGGGACGGAGGGCGGGCTCTTTAAAATAACAAATACTATTTAACGATACAATGAAAAAAAAAGTTTTTATATGAATCATTTTTTATTAATCAAAACTGCGGACTTCTGTTTCAATATTGTGTTGTTAGCTTTTGAGCCTTGTTTAAAATTCTATCAAATTTTTCTCATAATTACGAAATTTTGTAATTTGCAAAAAATAGCGCTTTGTTTGCTTTCATAATTTTTAATTTTAATTTTATAAAAGCCGGGACAACCCGGGACAAAAAATCTAAATCCAGGACAAATATTGCTTTTAGAAAAACCCGGGACACAAGGTGGAAATTCGGGACTGTCCCGGCTAAACCGGGACGCATGGTCACCTTAATATTAACCTATTCGTAAATGGTTGCAAACCTATCAAACCAATCAAAAAATATTTGCTCATCAATAAAATTAATAAAAATAACGAAATAACTAAACTGAAGACAATAGGTTGATGTACAATGAATTGCTCATCTGTCCACTGAATTTAAATAATTTTCCAGATCTTACTTTAGGTGCCAATTAGCTTACCTCAAACGATGTGGGAAAATCTCTTCCGTATTTGGTGGGAAACACAGCTTCATCAGCAACACTTCGTTGGATAAATGTCATCACAAAATCTATATATTGAGGAGCAGGGACTTTGGTTTTCTTTCCTTTCTCATCAAACCACAAATATGTCCTAAAATATAAATATAAAATGTAAATGCCTCAATCATAATGTTCGAACGTCTTTTCGGTTTATTATGTTGGCCATGAAGGTGACAATCTTCAGGGCATTAAGCTTTACACGGAATGGTTGCTACCCCTGGTAGAGGGGGTAGCGGAGTGTTTTGATATAACTAATTGTTCACTTCTAAAAGTAAAGTCCGCGAAACAACATGTATAATAAATAAATAACTAATAAATATATCTTCTTTCATTATAACTTAGTAACAAATCAGTGATTGTAATTTGAACTGAAACAAATGCATAATCTAGAAACAAATCATTGTTTAATACAACCTACAGCGACAAGGGTTAAATTATAATCCAACAACCTGAATTATCGAAGGAGAGTTTTAATAAATTTTAAAACTACGTGGCGGTATACACATAATAATAGAAAAAAATGAACTAATTTAACACAAATAAACAGTAATGTGTAGAATATATGGTTCAGTGAAATTTCATTAATTCTCTTACAGTTTATTTTATACAATTCTAGAAACGCATATATGGCATCAAATATTTCAACTATTAGCATCAAATATCTCAAATATTTCGCTTCAAATATTTCAACAATTGAAAGTAAATTATAGTCTGGTTATAAACTATTAATTGTATAAATTTAAAAAAAACTATTTCAAATTGTAATTAGCAATTCGGGGAAGTATATAAAATTAAGCAAATATGTTAATTTTATTCAATTATTACAATTCATACAATAAATTACAAATTTAAACTGCACTCAATGAATATGTAGAAATACCCAGAGCTGTTTTACATATTTTACATTTTATATCGATTTCAGTACTTCCTGAATACAACATGATAAAACGATAAGTAATGCTGTTAATTTAAGTGTTAATCAAATATAAATATTAAATATTATATCTTATCATTCCATTACCTCGTTCCTGGTCCTGTCATATCAGGGCAACCACTCATCGTGCAGAATTCACTGACGGTTCCATAGACTAAATTCACGTGCTCGAAAAGCGCCATCGCTGGAAACAATGACATTCGAATAAGTAACTTCCGGCAATTAAATAAAATTCATACCGAATTTGGAATAATTATAATTTTAATTTGGTACATTGTTGTAATTTTTAATTAAGGAAGAAATGCTGGTTTTGTTCATGGTCGCATATATGGAGATAAGCACTGTTATTATATGTTATATGTTAATTATATTTTGGGAAGTGTAGGATAAATTAAGTTATTAAAATAAATTAAAAATTGTTTTTATAAAAATATTTATATTTTTTATAAAAACTTATTTTATTTTGAATGTCATGCAGATACTTCATAAAATATTTAACTTGGAACATTGTTTTGCACAACAGTTTTGGCTATAAATATCATACCCTGAGGTTTTATTAAATTATATTTAGGTTTAGGAGCCAATTCTCGGATAATATAAGTATGGTATGGTAATGCTATTTGAGGATCTATATCTGTATGAGTAAGTAGTGACAAACCATCAAAAATATATGTATTTGCTGTGCGATCAGGATTTTCACACATAAACCTAACTTCACGTATGTGTTATCAAAAAGACATAAAAAATTGCACTTGCAGTAAAATGGTTATTTGACATTTGTAGATTTTGTAAGTTAGGTTTTATGTGTACAAGCCTGATCTAAGATATTTCCTTGTAATTAACTGTTGAAAAAAATTAAGCCGATTTTTATGGAACTTTTTTTTGGCGATATATATCATGGTCTTATAGAACTTACTGTAATAATAATGCCTTACTACAAGTAGTTTAATTGTTAAAAATTCATCAAAGTTTAGGAAAATGAGTAGTTTGTTAAAATTAAAGTTAGACGATTTATAAATTGTTGTATACAAGCATACTTGGTATAGCGAAAGTGTACTTGGCCTTAATGAACATACTAAACCATGAAAGTCCTATAGAAACTGGTCCAATTATGAAAATTATTGATTTTTGAAAATTAGCTTTTCGAAAACACTGCGAGTTAACGTCTTCGTTCATTTTCAATTATGTTAACTTTAATGTTAGAGGCATCCCAAAATGTCCCAAATTGGTTTATCCATAAAGTGTCTAGTTTGTTTTCGGGGACAGAAGAAATCAGAAGACTTGCATCTAAATACAAGACTAGATTGGAAAAACACTTAAATCAATTTGCTAAAGGCCTGCTTTCGCCAAACAACTCCAAAAGGCCCAAAAGAATAAACCCTTTAGTTTTAGCTAGTTAACATGTAATCTAGATTTGAAAAAATCTAGTCTGGAAAAGCAAATGATTATTTTGGTGACAAATGTTAGAGATAAGATTTCAAAACCTAACTAGTGGTAGTCACTTTAAATTTGAAAATTTATGAGATGAAGAGACAAGAGTAATTTCTTTCTCATCAATTCTCACTTCTTCTTCATCTCATCAATTTTCAAATTTGAAAAGACTACCACTGGGTAGTATTTTAAAATCTTATCTCTAACAATAGTAATCAAAATTACTGAATGTTTTTTGCATTATATAAAAATAAAAAAATAAACATTAACAATAAACTTCATCCAGAGAAATAATCGACTCCAAATGCAAAATGTTTGCTATCTTCTCCTGGCTATTGGTATAATATTTCTTGGATATAAAAAAATATTACTGAACCACTATTTTCAATATGCTTCTATTATAACAACTTAATAGTCCAGTCATTTGGTCGTTTTGCCGGTACAGTACTCCGGGAATTTTGAAAATTTGTAATCTTATAGATTTCGAGGTGCTCTTTACGAAAATCAACTTTGCCACCTCAAATTTGAACGGCAAGTTGCCGCCATATTGAAAAAATGGCGTCAAAAAACAGCTTTTTTAAAATATCTCCTTTCTGGCTCATTCTACGATAAAAGTATATATGTACGAATTAAACTAGAGAAAATTTCCTACAATTCCTTAGAAAACCGTTTTTTTGTAAAATTGATAGTTTGAGAGTACGGCCGCCTCAAAGTCTTTGCTGCTCTCGCCGTAGTATCAAATCTGTCCATATATGACAGCACTTCGAACTTGACCACATTCTCTCTAATAAATAATATTTTCAATGTTAAATTAAGCGAATAAGATCTAGAAATAAAATAATTCAAATATTTTTCTGTTTTTTGCTGATTTTTTAACGCTTCAAGCTACTTGAAGCTATAAGGTGCTACTCAAGCTATAAGTATACTTATAGCTACTTTGCCATCGAAGTGTTAAAAAATTAGCAAAAAAAAACAAAAAGTATTTGAATTATTTTATTTCTAGATCTTATTCGCTTAATTTAACATTGAAAATATTAATTATTAGAGAGAATGTGGTCAAGTTCGAAGTGCTGTCATATATGGACAGATTTGATACTACGGCGAGAGCAGCAAAGACTTTGAGGCGGCCGTACTCTCAAACTATCAATTTTACAAAAAAACGGTTTTCTAAAGAATTGTAGGAAATTTTCTCTAGTTTAATTCGTACATATATACTTTTATCGTAGAATGAGCCAGAAAGGAGATATTTTAAAAAAGCTGTTTTTTGACGCCATTTTTCCAATATGGCGGCAACTTGCCGTTCAAATTTGAGGTGGCAAAGTTGATTTTCGTAAAGAGCACCTCGAAATCCACAAGATTACCAATTTTCAGAATTCCCGGAGTACTGTACCGGCAACAGCCTTTTTTTGCACCAAATGACTGGACTATAAGGGCTCGAACAATTTAAGATAATTGTTTAATAAATTAAATAAATAAGGCAGATGGACACAATAGGTAATGGATCAGTAAAGTTATATATATTTGATAAACTCATACCAACTTAAAAATTGGTATGAGTTATGGGTATTGGTATTGCTAATGTTCTAATCACTGTGATTTTAGGGATAGTGGCTAAAGCTAAAGGCTTTCAGTCAGAGGTTGCAGATTTGATACCTGTCTGGGACAGCCTGGTGTTAAGTAGTAGTGACATCGAAAAATAGATTTACCAGATAGCAACATGTTTTCAAGCGAAAATAATCCTGATCCAGCAAAAGTCAACAATGTTACAGAAATTGTAATAATTAAAAGTAATCACATAGAGATTCACGTTTGAATTGCCATCTATAAAACCACGTTGTTTAAGAAGTGAGCATAGCAGCTCATGAAACTCTTTAAGTTCTGATTGGTGGTAAAATAAAAAAAAAAAAAAAATATTATTACTTATTATTTATATATCTCTTTTAAATCAGATGTACTAGAAGAATAGTAGCAGACAGGCTGCTGGACCATATTAACAATGTAATTATTCTTAACACGTAAAAAGATTGACCAGAGTTTCCATAGATAAAGAATGAGAGTTTTGGTATAAGCAGCCAAACAATGTTTGAGTATTCACTTCCAAAATATTTACCAGAGACCATAAATTGTATTTTGGCAAGTATATTTAAAAAATATACCTCGTCGTGCGATATGGATCCGTTATAACCACCGAGCGTATAGTAATCACCGGCAGACGATTTTTACTAACTAATTTTATCATCGAAAGGAAGCATTATTAGTTTCGTTTTATTTTTATTAGAAGTAGAAAAAACGGTGCACGGTCGCGCTTAATGGTTTGTTTTATAGAAATACCGTTACGAAACCATTTATGGAATTGTTTTTAAAAGCGCGTCGCGTACTTATTAGAAAACGTGTGCTGCCTCATGATGTTACGATTATTACAAGAGGGAAACTACGGACAATGGACAGATTAGTAATGCCATTAACAGTGCTGAGAGACGTAAATGATAAAAAATCAAAACCATGGTGACAATATCAAAAATTTTGAAATTACTTCTATTTTAGACTTTAAAGAAGATATCGATATCTAATTCTAAGATATGTTTTCTAAGTTTTACTTTTCAAGAATATGTGTACAAGAAGGTTTTCAAATTCAAATTATTTTTGGATATATAGCTGCTTGATCACGATAATCCTCCTCTGTTTCCTTTCTCCACGAAACTATTTAAAAACGCTTTTCTCAAATCCGCCTTTTTTGTTGCGATACCTACGAATTCTTAACTTCTGCTGAACCGAATGTCTTGAAATTCGTACAAAGTCTTCTTTATAGACTTCTCATCAGTATCAACGACGCTCATCACCAAATTCCGTTTTTTACCATTTAAAAAAAAAAAAATTGAGAACATCAAAGAAAAGTTGTATTTTTTTTTCAGACTGTTGCTATTTTGTGAAAAAAAAAAGAACTAATGGGTAGTTTATATAAATGCGACATTACTACAAATTAATAATCATTTTATATCGGACAATTTGAAGGGCTAATATCAGGGTCTGGTCAGATGCTAATTTTTAGAGACACCCACTTCATCACTTAACACAATTAAAACTTTTTGGCTGTTTAAATTTCATTCTTTCTGTAATCTTAAAATATTAATTAATAATTTATAAAAATGGTTAGTAAAAATATTGTTAGCCTTTTAAAAATCACATAAAATTCATGGCCCTAGGACTAAAAAATCACCTTAAAAACATTAAATAATAAAAAACTCACTTCACTATAAAATCATATTTTATAGTAATTCAAAAAAATGAAAATTATTATGTAGATACTGTTTTCATATCTACATAAGAATTTTCATTCTTTGAATTACTATAAAATATGATTCCACATAATTTGTGACATATTATAGACTCACTGAAAATGCTGAATTATTTGGAAGTTAGAAAACAATTAATTGATAATGGTTGAAAAGTCATGAAACAAACGGAATTGATAAATATAACCAAAGAACAACTTTGTCAGTAAGTTTGTACAACTTCAGAATGCCTTGAAATTATCATAGATCATACACCTTGCCCAAATACGACTTATATCTTTTTGACTTGCTCAGTAGTTTCATTTATAATTTAATTTCAGAATTAATTGAATTTTTATTATATAATTTTTTAGCATCAATCAATACTAAATGAGTCCTTTGAGCTGTTATGCTGACTTCTAAATTCTTGTAAATAATGACGTGGATCATTTATAGATGACAACCTATATATTTCATATTT